GATGTGTAAGTAGGTATATCCCTGACCCATAGTCTCAAAAAGGTGGGACCAAGTGGGGCTGAAAGGTTTTACTGAAAAATGTAGCCTGAGGCAATAATTAGTTTAAAACTTAATAGAGGAGCTCGCGCTATACTGTTCAAACACCCCAACTGTTTCCCTTTAAGCATAGGAACTTTTGAATAAATGCTTCCATTTTGAGACATCTACATGGTATTTATAGAAAACTTAGGAGTCAATTTGAGTGAGGTTTGTTGCCAAGATGTGCAAAGAAGTGAAAACATTGGTTGTTGTCCTCGTTACCATAATATAAAAATGTCTCCAGTGTTTGTGTTGCTGAATCATGGAAGACTGGGTTCAAACACTTTAAAGGAACGGTTGACTGTGGGAAATGTGAAGCATAGTATAGAATCAGCTTCGGCACCTTCTGAAAACTGCATTATTTGAGCAAATTTTCTCAGCTAAGGATACTGTGTGAGATGAGAACAGGCTATATATGGGTACAGCCAAAGTTACCTTCATGGTTAAAACTAAGTTTACACTATTACCCATTGACTTTCATACTTGTTAACGTGAATGTAAATTTCAAAAAGGAAAAATCGCTCTTCCAACAACTTAGTACTTGGAAACCTATCTAAAATGACATCTTTTGGTTCATGGAGTGGCAGTGTTCAGCACAAAACTCATTTTGCTACCTCAGCAACTAAAGCTTCCTGGATGGAATCCAAGGCCAACTCATCTTACATGGAAGCCCATTCCAACACCAAGCATGTTTTAAGAACCTTATACCTGTCTGGTGTTCTAGCGATGCAGTTTGAATTTGATGCATTCATTTGCTATATGCTCTATGTTTAGCCAAACTTTGTGGCCCATTTGTGGCTCATCCCACTCTTTGGGAGCCCAGGAGGACTCAGCAAGCTGAAGATGAGGAGTAAAAAGCACTTACTCTTTTTAATTCCTTCTCTCCTTATTTTCTCAATTCCAAACACCATGGCAACTCTAGAAGTCAAGCAAGCTGCTTTCAGGAAGAACGTATATTTACATGATAACAGTGCCTTACCAGGTGCTTTGACACCTAAAACAGCTTAGGGAAAGGCAATGGCAGAGCTGGAAGGCCTCACACAAGTAGGAAGTAAGACGTGCTAATAGACCCCACCAGCCCTTGCTTGTTCTATGGAAACGTTACATAGCAGGGAGGGAGACTGAAAAAGAGTCACTCAGAGTCACCAGTGTGTGGGATGTTCTCAAGGTGCTTTGCAGAACTGGGTCTAGGACATCTACTTCCTGATATCCTCCTTGTCATTGACACTCTCCTAGAATGGGATCTATCTTAAAAGTCCATGCTTTCCAACATCCTAGCAAGCCATGGAGGTTTGGGGTTATCCTATAGTTTAGGAGATACAGGTATTTGAAAGTCTGTGGCTTCTTTTGCTTGTTTTATTCTGTGTGCTCAAAGAGATACCAATGACATGACCTGAGTATTTATCTTTATCATAAATTTTCTTCTTTCCACCATATTTTTCCCTTATCAACCTTTGCTGTGAGATCGGTGACCTAGATTATTTTCCAAATCACCCTGTTATATACACTAGTCAGTTCAAACTATCATACCGGTTCAAAGAAACATATCAAACCCTCTCCAGGCAAAATAAGTGCCTTGGACTTAGTATTCCCTATTTAATGACTTGCCTAAAATACTGTCACCTTGCATGACTCATACAGTGAAAGTTTTAGCAGGTAACATTTGTTCTAAATGCAAAGCTATTGCTCTGCTAGGAAAGTAGGAGAAAGTAGGACATTTAAGTGTATGTGCGTGTGTGAGTGTGTGTGAGTGTGTGTGTGTTTTCTGATAATTGTACTGTGAGATATTAGGAGCTTTTATAAAACAGCAAATTTATATGCAGGATTTTTAAACTACTGCAGTTTATCATTTAAATGTATATAGCACAAATACATTTTGCATGTTGTTTTCCAATTATGTTTCGTATAAAATAACTACAAAACATGCTAAGTAATTACTTTGGGGTAGATAAATAACTTCCCCCTTATAGTCATGTCTCTGTTATCTGCTTATTTTCACATGAACCTGATTTCGCCCAAGAACTTTTGGTTTTTCTCCGGTACCAGGAACCGAACTCACGACCTTGCGCTTGCCAGGCAGGCGCTTTGCCACTGAGCTAAATCCCCAGCCCCTCGCCCAGGAACTTTTGACCAGACTACCCACAGTTGTTAAAGAACTGGGAATAATGAGTAAATTATTTCATAACTTGCAGAGACAGGGAAGAAAAATTAATTGAATATTTAGACTTGACATAATACGGGGTGCTTTACCCCACGTTCTCATTGGCACGTGACAGTATTCCGCCACACTTTTTAGTTTGCAACCAGTTAATTCTGCTTTTTAGATTTAAGATAACATAATAGGTAGTAGTCAATCTGTTCCTTTTAGTTTTAATAGTTAAGAAGATTTTAGTCTTTGTTTTATTTTAATTCCCAGTTAACTTCTTAGTTGTACTGCTATCTTGGGATCAAAAATCTGGACAAGATTTTAGGCTCCTGTCAATAGCGGAGGGAGAAGAGTGGTACAATACTGAAAGGGAATAGCTAGGCAGGAGTTTGATTCAAGTTTAAAAGGCCTAAACTTTTAGAAGGTGAGATAACTCATGTGACACATTAATGCCCCATTTTTAAAAATCTACTAAATGCTCCAACTCCCAGGTGGGAACTTGAATCCCTGCCAACCTAAGACTAAACTATCCTATTAAACTATTTGCTGGTGTTTTTAGACACAACTGGATTTAACCCATCGCTTCACACCCAAGTATTGGCATTCATAAGTTGCAAAATCAATGGTTACAAAAATAAAGTCATTTGTTTAACGCCTTCCAAAAGGCCTTGGGAGGAAATAAATAAGTAAAACTACTTTATTCCAGAGAGTTGAAAGTGGGTGGGGTGGGGGAAGTGTAATAAAACGATCTTGAATTGTGCATAGCAAGAAATTAGTGTTTCCAGTAAAACTGTTTTACCAAAAAAAAAAAAAGAAAAAAAGTAAAGGCCTGTAAAGAAACTTTAGTGTTCCTGCTTGAATTATTTCGCACTCTGCAGTACGGTGGAAGGACTGACTTCAAGGTCCCTAGACCAATGTCCTCTCTCAGATGACAGCTAGATCGCAGCAGGACCCAGACGCCTCCGGACCCCACCGTTTGTGTGTGAAGGGGTAGCCCCTGGGCGCCCGTCTGCAGCCCTTGGCCTGTCCCACCCTGGGAAGTCCGGTGGAAGTGTGAGGCAGATGCAGGTAGGTCTCACTGTAGGCACCAGGCAGCAGGAAGTGCCAGGCCGGACGCCAGGGGTTGGGGAACAGCTCCTAGCTGAACTGGAGCTGCACGCGAACAGGGGAGCACGACGCAGTTCTCAGGAGGGCGTGGGTACCATTGCAGAGCTGCTAACGCTGGGGAGTTTCGCGAGAGAAGGGTACAAGGACGGCGACGGAGGGGGATGGTCACGGGCTGTAGAGCTAGAACACAGGGAGGAGGGCTCGGGACACGGGCAGCACCCACTGCAGCACCCCGCCCGGCGCCAGAGCCGCTCCCGCACCTCCACCGCCAGCCGTCCCGGCGGGCGAGCGCGGCCCCTGCCCCTCCGGCCGCCC